TCTGCTGCTCCAAACCCCGCCCCCCCCTGAAAATAATGAGTGACAGGCTGAGAGTGACCTGATAGAAACTTTATTATTCACTTAATTATTGAAATATGATGAAGCCAACTTAATCTCCTACAATCATGGATTTATGTAACTGTACGACAGAGAATGTAAATGTGCACCCACATGCAGTATTGTTGTTTTTATACCGTTGTAAATACTCCAGTTGTCTGCTGTGTTCAGACTCAAGTCTTGTTTGTGATGCCACATTCAGGACATTCAGTGTCCTTTTTTGAGCAGAAGACCGTCGCTAGAAGCTGCAGCTAGACTGCAGAAGCATTAGTTTTTGAGGATGGAACAATTTCACACAGAGATATAGGAATCCTAGAACTATACAATTGATTTATTTTGGTTTATAAATTAATGTCAAGACATTTATGTTATTGATTTCTGAAGCACTTTCTAAATAATGTACATAATAATGCATTTACTGCATGTATTCATTGAGGAAAAAGAAGCAATGTGCAGTAATATAGAATCGTGATGCATCGGGAAATCGAATCGGGGACAGGATAATCGTAATCGAATCGTGAGACCAGTGAAGATGCAAAGCCCTAAAGTCTAGTAGATGCACTCCCCCCTTTTATTCAGTGTCACATTTATCACTCGGCTCTCTTGCCACAGCCTCTTTGACTCACGTGTCGTCGGTGTCGATGTTCCCCCCGCAGGCCGCCCCCCCCTGGATGGACTCCATGGCGGTGGAGTATAGGGCCTTCTGCTGGGCCACGGGCCTCTTCTCATCGCTCTCGCCCTGGGAGCCCTCCATCTGCCTCTCCCTCTCCGCCTGGTCCATGTTGTGAACCCCGAGCAGCAGACTGTAGTCCATGATCTTAAAGCTCTCCAGCACCTGAGCAGGGGACAGGAAGTGAGCGGTGACTGACGGAAACGTGACGTATAAATCTGTCTCAAAGCTTTTATCCAGAGTGCATAACAGTGTCAGCACCAGGGGGAATGAGGACAGGAGTCATGAAGCGATACAGAGTGATGCACACACTAATTAACTATGCATAAGATAGGGAGTATATCACACTGGCTAACAAGAACGTGCACTGAGAAGGTTATTACGAGGTGGTGATTTAAGAGACAAGGGCAGGCCGGCCACCACTGCAGAACCCTTATTAAACACAGTGCTGTAACAAAGCTCTAATTTACAGCGAGGGATCCTGGGAATGCCAAACACTCTCGTAAATAGCTTTTGTTTCTTTCACTGCCTTCTTCAATCCAATCTCCCTCCCTCCTCCTCTTTTATTAAAAGTTAATAAAGGTAACACTTTACATTTATAATTATCGCTTTGTATTGCCAAGGAGTGAAAGGATTATAACGTAACTCAAAACTTGTTAACTTCCTTCGACTTTCTTGGTTGCCTAGAACAGCCTGTGGACTGACTTCTATGTAAAGGCCTTGGGAAGCTTTCATCACAAATAACTGCTATTAGTTTGACTCATATTTCTAATTGCAGTATGATTTGTGATATTAAAGACTTTAATAGAGGATGATCATTCAGAGTTATTGCGATATATGAATACTCTTCACGTTATTACTAAAAATGATAATCTGTACCAAACAAAGATTTTGTATTAAGTCGGTAAAACATTACTCACTTTATACTCACTTATTTTGCCTTTACCAAAAATTGGGTTAACTGTGAATACTGCACTAGCCAATATTGTGGATTTCATACCAATTTCGATTAAATGTGTAGTGACTGAGGTTCCCTTAAAGGCACTAGTACCAAAGATTTCCTAAAACTTCTAAATAGTATCTTTGAACAAGGCCCCATAATATCCTGGTTATTCCAGCACGTTTCCATTTCTTTTTTGTTGCATTTCTACCCTATGTTTGTTTCTTTCCCTTTGAGACTCAGCCTTAGGGTATAACTTTATCCTTCCTTCAAACATGCTTATAATTTTCCGCTAAACCTAACTGCCTAGGATCTCCCTCCCCCTCACTGAAGGATCTCTCTCTCCTAGGCTCCTTCTCCCTCCTTCGTCCATGTCTCTTGCCTGTCTATCTGAGCTTAGACAAAATAGAAGTGGTTCCAGTGAAGAGCTTTAACACAGCAGCTGTTTGTGTCTCCGTCCCCCCCTCTAACTCACCAGGCAGTCTCTCTGTAAGGTCTTCACCAGCGCGTTGTAAGTGTCCTGGTCCAGCATCAGACCCTCCAGCAGGTTTTGCATGAAGTCCAGGTCTTTGAAAGTGGGCCTGGCCTTCTCTCTCTCTTTCTTGGATGCTCGCCTCTTGTAGGTGGAGCCCTTCAGGTCGTATTTGAGGTGCATGCGAACTACGCGGGGAAGGACGTTGTTCATCACCACCAAGCGGATGTTCTTCCCGCCCGACTGGACACAGTAGAGGCCGAAGAACTTGGGCAGCAAAGTGCGAGGGTTCTGATTCAAGTTCTGGAGAAGAGTGAAGGAGAAGAAGAGAAATCACAAGGTTTTTAAAGGTTCATAAATGTTTTTTTTGCTGCTGACAGGATTTAGAAGCAGGACATTTGAGGGAATTGTTTAAAGGAATTCAATTGTGCGAAGAAGCTGTCAGGGTCACCACAAATTGTATTACGTTTTACAGAATTACCTTTTTACAAACACCCAAGGCCAAGATGTGCATTTTTTTAGACTTTGCATAAGTAGAGAATGTTGGCACTGTAACGTAAAATATCTGAAAGATGCTATTTTTTGGCGAACAAAGACAGAAAGGAAAATATAACAGAACCAGGATCCCGACACATCATTTTTTCATGGGACCTTTAAGGGGAGGCGTGTGGCGCAGTGGGTTGTGTGTACGTTAGGGATGCTCGATTATGGCAAAAATCATAATCTCGATTATTTGGGTCAATAATTGTAATTGCGATTATTAAATGCGATTATTCATTGACTTTGAAAACATCCATTTATTGTACTTTAAAACAAATACAAATAATAATTTGAACTTTTTAACTGTTGAATTATACATTCAGGGTAATCAACTGAAAAACCAATACAAAATAAAATAAAATAGATTATACATTCATGTCTACATTTAAATAAATAATATCAAAATAATAAATACCAATAAACAAGATCAACAAACATGTAGCAGTGCACTGTCACAACCTGAAAACTCCTTAACATATAGCCAACAACATTTTGGTAAAACATATTCAACATATTCCACTCACTCCACTGGGTCAATAATTGATATCACGATTATTAAAAAACGATTATCCATTTACTTTGAAAACATCAATTTATTGGAGAAAAAACATTTGAACAGTATGTTTTTAACAGTTGATTACCCTGAACTTTAAGTATAATTCAACTGAAAAAATTATCGTTTTATTTAGATTACATTGTTTTCGTAATCGTTGCAAGCCATAATCGTAATCGCGATTAAAATACGATTAATTGAGCAGGTTCAAACCCCACTGCAGTCAGCATGTCGTTGTGTCCCTGAGACACTTCACCCCAAATTGCTCCTGTGGGGATTTCCCACAGTATTGAGAATGTGAGTCGCTTTGGATAGAAGCGTCTAACAAGCTACATGTAATGTTAAAAAATACATGAGCGAAAGGAAAGGTGATACATGTTCTGCAAATAGTTTATTTATAAACACTACTTAATGCTCAGTGTACACAAACTGTCTACCCAGTTATTCATATGATTGCCCCAGGAAGTTTACAAAACAGAAACAAACATGAGTCAAGATCTCAGTTTCAAATAAAGAAGTGGTGATGCCTAAACTGTCATTTCATTTTCACTGTTATCAACTGTTTGGGATTTAGGAAGGCATTAAGCTTACAAAAATCAAGTAACACAATTATCCTATATTTGTAAAAACAAATCTCTCCTATTTTGCATGATTCTGCATTTCTACACAAAAAGAACCCCCCATCAATCACCAATCCGTGCTGAATAAACCAATCTCAACTAAGAGGGTCTGGGGGCTCAGTTGAAAACCTGCTTTGACCTTGGGAACTGGGCCAGCTCGTTCCCATTAGAGAAATGAGGGGGGAGATGAAGAGAGAGTGGTCCAAAAAGCCATAACAGAAAGCATTCAGGAGCAGATATGAGGAGAAAAAAAGAGGAAACGGCAGAGGAGAGATGAAGGATGAATGTGGACGTATGGCTAAAAGGCTCAGCACTTGTGACCTTCAGATTAGAGGAACAAAAAAGAAAAAGAGAGGTTGCAGAAAGACAGAGAGAGAGAGAGAGAGAAAGAAAGAGCATCCTCTGCCCTCAGCCACACATGACCCTTCTGTCAATGTTAAGAGGGCAGAGCAGTGACGAACCAACAACAAAGACACGTGAGGGAGATGAGCAACTATGAGCATGAAAGGCTGGAGAAGGAGTGGATTAAAACACAACGCAGAGACATTAAGAGAAATAAATTCAAACGTGAGAGGAGATGGAAAGCCTTGGCACATAATAGAAGGGCTAATACACCGACGGGAGAGAAGTGTCAGCGGTGGAGTCTGTTACATCACTGCGATCTGTATGCTGCCCAGAGCTACACTCCTGAGCTGGGGGAAGACATGAGCCGCTCCACCAATGGCTGCTGCGCGTTGTGTTTGCTACGAATACAGATGAGCCAGTTCCAATTAAACGTTTTGCTGTGACATGTAAGAATTGTATCCATGGACACAATGTTTTAATGGCTTTCTACCGTGTTTATCTTGGCGTGGGTTTGATTTGTCCATCTGTGTTATCTGCCTCTTTTCCCATAATCCACCTGCTCTGGCCTCGGGCTGCAGCCATCTTGCGTGAGCCTGAATATCACTGCTTTCATTAAACCTCTTTCTCAGACCAATCATTCGTGCAAATGTTCTTCAGAGCATTTCAGGCCACCGGAAAAGGTCACAGTGAAAGCGCTGAGCCTTTATTGCCCTAAATGATGAGACAAATTCCTGCACTGGTCTTTGGCCACGGCTGTTGGCACGGGAATAAACACAAGGCTGATGGCTGTGAACCTCAAAAGCCTGGGATAGTAGCATGGACATACATGGAGCTGTTGTTGGTTGAGTTCATTCAGAATGAGCCAGCGGACTATGTTGTGGGTGTGGGTGGGGGTGGGTAATCTTATGTGAAACACACCGGCCAGTCTCTTATGAAACCGCATGGCCCCAGGTTTCAGTCGGATATGATAGAGTTGTTATGTCTGCTGTATTTGAAAAGGATGTCATGCTCAGAGGAGAGATTTCCAGGGTCTTACATAAACCTCTAAAAATAAAAGTCAAAATGAGAATATCAGAGCTGGAGGTCAGCAATTTAATGAGAAAGTAAAGGGTTCGTGTGTGCAGCGGCCTCTTTGGCCCGAAATACACCAACGCTGCCCGGCTTCTCCACCTTTGGTGCAGTGTGTATGATCTGTGTGTTCACTTCATGTGCATGTACCTAGATAACTCGCTGCGATACAGTTTAATTGATTTCACCTACCTTTTACATAACATGACATTGACATGTGCTTTTCTCCACATACACACACTTTGCTTACCATGTAGTATCCAGGCAACAGTTTCTGTAAGAATTCGGCCTCCTTGTGCATCACAGTCTTGATGATGAACTCGTCGTCCCTCGTGAGATAGAAGACCGAGCCACTCGCCCCGGGATTGGACAACTCGATCAGAGGCTCATTACACAGGGAGTACTGCAGACACACACACACACACAAGAGGAGGTAAATGCTGGTTCAATCTTTGAACATTTTATAAAATGACAGCACTTATACGAAAGACAGTTTTAACCAAATCATTTTAAAATTACTTTTCTTCGTGGACAAGACTTTTGAATCGCCTAACACAAATTGATCAATGGCTTGATGATTTTTGCTCTGCTTTTTGGCTTATGAGGAAGAGAGAAGGTGATACTACACTTTTGTTTTAGTCCGTGACGTCATTGGGCCCAAAGGAACTATTTCCCCTTTGTCTTACACTGGGAGAGACATCTGTTAACCAGAGGACGTTTTTCTCTTTTTTAGCTAAATCAACTCCCCAGTACGAACACTTTTATAGCCCTTATTTGAATATCTAGGGTCTAAAAGTTGTAATGTAATGCTGTATCCAGTTCTCTTTATACATCAGGGTCAGAACAGAGGTAATGAACAGTCTGACAAATATTTTCCCTCACTCTTATTTTCCCCTCACAGATGAAGCCAAATGCTCCCAGTGTGTCGACACGTGCTGCAGCACTAGCAGTTTTCAATGGACAACACAAGGTAGGGAACAGCAGTGAAAAGAAGGGCTTTCTTTTTGCAGACACTCATAACATGTAGGACAATATGCCTGTTTCTCAACCTTTTCCTTCACACATGCAGTAATACAAATGTTGCTTTCAGCGCTGACAATGAGCTCCTTTTAAAAACACCTGTGATCAAACACAAAATAGCAAATGAAGCTTTCAGCACTTGCATAACACTTTTAATGGTGCACAGCAGCAGAAGGAACGTGACGTGTTACAGCCCCAAGCTTTCCTCAGCGTTTCGCAGATATTTGTGGGATTTATGGATCAAACATAAACTGCAAGTTGAAACAAATATGCACTAATAAATTAAAGCCCAAGATCAAACAAATTATAATGTGTCACACACTAGCACACTTATCATGTGGAGATGTGCAGAAGCACTTACAGTTAAACATTATGGCAGAATTATGAAAATAACTGATGGTGGAATGTGGATTCATAGTGCATGCTGAAGTAGAAAAGACTTAGCTAATATATATTAGACACATTAAGATGTCAAGTAATGACTGCTTTTTAGTTATCGCTCTTTTAATACACACATCAAACTCTCGCTTAAATGACGGATAGATCGGCTAATTATCTTGTTCTCTTCCCTCGGCTGCTTAAAAGCAAGTAATGACAGACATCAGTTTTCAAAAAAGCGAAGCCGCCTCTGCCTCTGTTTTGCTAATGGCAGACTTTCAGGGAAAAAAACCTCTCTGTGTCGCCTCACATTTAATTTCAATGTTTTTTCAATGCTGTGTTTGAATTTTTAACATCAAACACAGCTGAACAGGGATAGAGAAAAGGTGTGGAAACGAGATGGCTGAATGGAAATGGGAAAATGCACTCACAGAGGCAGGTAAACGGATGTAACCATTATTTCTTTTTAATTAGGATGGATAATTTAACATTGTATGTCATTAAACAGAATGATAACGTAAGGTTGCAAAATGTAAGGGAAAAACATATTCACAATGTTATCTTGTGGTATCTTGTGAAGGAGAAATAGATGATATAAATACTGCATTGTTAAACAACTGTTTGCTCCCTAAACACTAAATCATGACTACTTGTGCAAATATGATGTAAATCACTAAATCCCAAGAGTGGCGGTCAGTCAAATAATTGATTGGTCCATTGGCATTTGGAAACGATCTAATCATATTTGTCATTTTTAGCCACAATGCAAAATGATCACTGGTTCCAGCCTCCCCAATGTGATTTAATGATTTATTTGGTTTATATGATGCTTAACTAAATATCTTTGGGTTTAAAACTGTTGGTTCAATACAACAATTCACAGTGTTACATCAGCTTGGGCTGTGGGATATTAAAATGCACATTTGTCATGATAAAGACAGATTTGCAGATTCATCGATAATTTACAAAAAACATTAAAAAAAGACCTTGAGATGAGGCTGATTCTAAAGATGTTTTATACATTAGGTAAATGCATACATAGTTCCAGTATGTCTCTATGTGTATTGCTTTGGTGCCGTTTATGTGAGAGCTCTTACAGGGCAATAATTCAGTCTCGTTATTCTGCATGTTTAGCAGTCATTTCCTACACACACCCTGGTTACACCCAAAGCAGTGTCTATGCCAAACATATTCCACACAAGTGTATAAATGAGAACATAGTCCCCGAATGCTCCACCCAAACACCTCCTGAGGACTTCCATGGGAAACCCCTTTAAAAGGTACGCTAATGTGTTGGTTAGAGGTGTGTAAATAATACCTTAAAGTTAGCTACACTACGCGTGTAAAGTGAGATTGGGATGAAATTCTTAAATTATGTGCCACAACAAGGGGTCTCTAAATCAGGTAGCGAGGTAAAACCGTGGATCTTAGTTTTTACCTGAGTTAACACGGCAGCGAACCTCTAATTAAGGCGGTGTTTACACGAGAACGAAATGGCTGTATCTGCTACTTTTCTCTCGCGTATAGGCCGTTCGTTCACACAAGGCCGTAACGGAACCGCGGAAACGGACCCCGCAAACGATAACAGGTCCCAAGGTGGATAGATCTGCAAACGGAACGCTCTGGGGGGCCAAAACGGCTCAGTGTGTACGCCCTATTGCCTACGATCATTTCCTGATAACGATGAAGCCATAGCCCCACCTCTGCTGCTCACTGCTGTAGCATGGTCAGTAGCTATACAGTAGCAGTAGCTACTGACCATGCCACAGATGTTAGTGCAAAATCTACAGCTCCTCTACCACAACCATCAGCAACAAGTGGACATGGAGAATAACATGAACTACATGTTGCTATATCTACCGCGGCGCGGGGCATAAACAGAAGGGCAACCATGGAAACCATGCTCGGGGGTCTTCTTTGCTGCTTTTGGTGTATTTTGTGGCAGAAGTACAGCGCCACTTACAGGCCCGGCATATGTACTACAGCGTTTCCAGTGGTCTCGTGTGAACGGACACGTTAAATGAGCCGAATGCGTGTGAACGGAAGACCTTTTTGATAACAAATTCGGTCCGTTTGCGCTCCCGTGTAAATGGGGTCTAAGCATTCTCTCCATCATTTAAGCCAATTAGAACCCCCTCTCCCCCTAAGGTAAGGCATTAGTAATGTTAGGACGGGCGGATAAACACTTAATAAGCAAGTACGTCAACATGGACTAACAAGGATAAACAAAGAGATTCTGTTTTGTCATACGTACAGCCAAACGTCAGTGTAACTAGACTTAAACTCTTAACAAATTAGTCTGGTAGCAAGATGGAAATAACATGCAAATCCCCAGATGGCTCGAGCTGACATATGTTGATGAGTGACCACAGACTGACCAAGAGGGATGTCAGGCAGGATGTGGTGTTTCAACGTGGCTGACCAACCGATGCATTAAAGATATGTGCACATGAGAGACCCAGAAACACTGACTGAGCAATGTATGTATATTGTGGTAGACTGCTGAAGGCCCAGCAGTGAATCATGCAGCCTCCAGGTCCTGCAAACCGATGAGGGGAGACAAGCTGCAGGCCTCCTCTCTCCCTCCTCCCCTCTGCTCTCTTTAAGCTGCTTCAAGGCATCTTGCTCTCATTGTTCCCCTTTTAGCTCTCTAAGCCTTATCTGCAGTTCTCATCTTTATGAATACCGTCCTTATTAATTTGTATTTCATTGTCTTTTCCTTGGCTTGGCTGCCTTTCCTTTCCCCCTACATTCCTCTTTATTGCGCTCTCTTTCTCCCTGTTCAATTATAATCCTCTGATTGGAGCTGATACAAAGCTCCTACTGATGTTAGCAGTTCAATTAACAACATAACAACCTTCATTGTGCATTTGTTTTTCATCTTGTACCATATATTTTAAAGAATGTCTAGCATCCAAGTGGTAAGAATCCTCTTTAATTCATTCAGCAACACAGGAAAAGTAAAATCTCACCAGGTAGTCATCCGGCCTGATGCCGAACAATTCTCTGAAGTAGCGAAAGGCCACAGGAGCGTAGGTTTTAAAGCGGAAGTCTGGGAAGTGGTGAGCTGGAGTGAGGTTGCTGCCTTCACTGAAGTACAAAATAAGACAAGAAGACATACATTACATTCATGTTTTAAGTGAACATCAAGGAAGGTTAAGAACATATCAGCAGCATACTTAAAGGAGACCTATCATGCTATATTTGAATAATATATTGTAGGGCCATACCTATATAATTTATACGTTTTTTTTCAAAATACCAAACAGATTATGCATTTTAGCCATGCCTCATTTCGCTCTATTTTGCTCTCCTCCATCCTGTCTTTGCATGTGCTACAGCTGACCACGCCCCCCTGCAAAGGAGGGGGCCGAGTTACGAGCGTCATGTTACCATGCTGTTACCATGCCACGGCACCATGCACCATGCCACGGCAACCTCTCATTCCCCTGATAGGTGGCGAGTTGGCCATATAGGCGGAGCTCCTCGTCACTGACGTTAAAGCCGCGTTTTTAGAGATTTGGGTATGGAGGAAAAGAGAGAGGGTTGTGTTTTATGACACTTGGTGAGTTCCCTGACACACCGGAGACACATGTTCACGTATAAAAGACGTACAAAAGTGCATTTTGCATGATAGGTCCCCTTTAATATTGTATAATACATATGTGCATTGGAAACATGCTGCATGTTCGGAAGGAGTGACCCGGCACTCGCGTGGTAGACAGGGCACTAGTATTTGCGGTGAAAGTAGAAAAATCAAGGCAAACCATATTGAGATGGTGTAGACTTATTGTTCATACAAGAAACCAAAATGGGTCTGTGAATAACTTTGGGAGCGGGAGCTTCCAAACTAGACCTCCTAGACTAAACGTTAAATATAACCCAGTTATTTATGAATTGACATTTATTAAGGGGAGCTAATACAAGAGTTCCAGACTGTAGCATATAAAAAAAAAAAATTGTCAAAGGATAGTTAACTTAAACGTTAAACTCCAATACTGTAAATTAACGAAAATCCAGAAAAAGCCAGAACGAATCTGTTACCATCGAATAAAATATAATAGGCAGATTATAATTATTTAGGGTTAGGAGTTGCGAAGTCGATGACGTGACATGAAATTTCGTAGGAAAAACTTACATACCGTGTCAAACAAAGTTTGTTTGCGAGTTCTTTTCGGATGGTAATGTTAAAAAAAGAATTGAATCTTTCGAATGTTGCGCACGACTAATCTGGAAGTAGGTATGAAATGTGTACAATAGCGTCAGAGTAAACTCAATCTTACTACTTTATCCGGTTCCAATGTGTGAATTCGATTTTCTGGAATCTTTTCTCTTGGTTCAATCGTACAAACGGGAAGTTTGACTCGTGAAAAAAAAACAAAACAGATAAAGGTATATATAGTATAAAACAAAAAAAAAAAAAAAAACAAATATTTACTAATAAACCAACATAAAAAAGAAAAATTACTACAGAAGAACGACAGTAGAAGCGTCTTTATATATTACAATAAATATAACTCAGTCTATAAAATAAATAGGCAACAAATATAGATGATAACAAAGAAACAAAAAAAACAGAGGGAGAGAAGACAAAATACGAAAAGGAGCAGGAAGTCAACAGAAGATACAAAAAAGAAAGACAAGAGAGAATCACCCAAATATATACTAATACCATAACCAGGAAGATAACATACCATCGCTACGTAGTCAAACACAAACAATGGATAAAAAGAAATAAGTTCATATTAACAACATAAATATACGCACTACTAAGAAACAGAAAATTAAGAAAGACACTACCAGAACAAAAAGAAAAAAAAAAAACAACGCCTTTATTACGGTACGAAATACGGTCACACTAAAAGGTCGAGTCAGACTAGGCAAATAGGCAGGCTCTAGATCCTGTGTAATTTGAACTGACATGTTAGTGAGAACCCCAACTGAAATTCAATTCACAGTTGGCCGTATGTAAGACACGAAACCACTTTAAGTTTACAGACACATAAAGTACAAGTTCACTACTTTGTATCAGGCACCAAGAGTAAACTTCGGTCGTTTTCCGATCAGTGACACTAGGAAAAATGGGTACACGACCTGCATACCACTAACTTAGATATACTTACGTGGGACGGTCGGGGAAAACGGACCTTTTCAATCCTACGGCGGATAGTGTCACGGTGACTCTGAAACAATGATTGACATTTCTGGAAGAGTAGTGACATGGGACATACGGTTCCTTCCAGACGGCAAGTGGATTGACATGCCTCCGAGCTCGTAGCCATGTACGAAGAAATGTTTCGGGCACAACCCAAGTCCATTTGATGAAACAATATAGACGAGAGCTAAGAGAGATGCTTACTTTCATGAATAACGGACTCCTAGAGTACTACAAAAAAATATTTACACAGTTCTCGATACCTGACACGAATCCCTTCTTTCGAAAATCAACAGTCGAGGGATTTAACCTTGCAGCGGGTTTGTCAAATTTTAGACTCGTGAATAACCAAGGGGACGTAGGAACTTTTGAGCCGACCCCCTGTACGACACAAGTATGGGTACACATAGGCAGTGACATTTATCTCAAACTTGACATGGGACATGTAATACAACATACAGTGATAACAACGAAAGACAACAAAAATACAATGTACGACAATTGATTAGGACGTCCAGTGGGAACTTTTATGCTAGAAAACTAGAGTTCCCCGAAAGTGACCAATTTATTTCCGACTGTTTGTTACAACCGAGTTAGTCAGACTGAACTCCTACGGGTCCGTGTATAAAATTAAAGAATATTGGCAGAATTTATAAAACCTACCCCTCATGGCTTACGAAGGGAAGTTTACTACAATGGTGTACTTCACGACTTTTTGTCATAACTTACTGATGAATTAATGAAATAGCATAGACAATAGTGAAATCCCGAATGACCACAACTATGACCGGCCGTAGTACAAAAAATTGCTTGGTCGAAATTTACTTCCCCCATTCATAAAGTGAGGAGACGGAGGGAGCGAGGTGTCATGGGTAGGAGTGAACTTTCATCGGTAGGTCGACCGTAGCCTGTGTCACAGCCGTTGTGACTCAAGGTTCGGACTTCTCCCTACACACTACGTCCTGAAGATGCACCCCTCTCGTGAAAAGGGGTCCAAAGATTTCGTCGGTTTGTGAATTTTT